TCAAAAGGATCAGAATGTGATAAAAGAGATGTGTGATTTGCCATGCTAGTTCAATGGGGCAGGTTCTCTTAGGAATCTTGTTTTGGGGAAAATCACTCATTATGTAAGTCTAACTATCCTAAAATCCCCATGTTAGAAAGAGTTCCTATAGCTGCTTTAGTTAGAGTTCTAGTTGAGGCTACCTTTCCAGTTATTTATACCAAGGTGACAAATCTCTGAGTAAAACTATTTGGAAAAGGTCCTACATTTCCAGATGTTCCATTCCCAGGTCACTGAAGTCATCCTTAGGTATGGCTCTGGATATCTTGGGTCAGAGACAAACCATCTTTATTATGCCCTATTTGAATTATTGACCCACATAATTAATGAACATAACAAAATGATTATTGTACAACACTAACTTTTGTTATGGTTAGCTTCCTAACATTAGCAATTGGAATACTCTTGATAAATCTTGTCTCTACAGCCAATCAATTGAGATCTTAGTAAATTCACAAAAAATTCCTGGTATTCTCAACAGTATTTAGGAATTACATTAGCCACTATGCAAGTTTATGACATTGGGAATAATCATAGTATGTGGGTAGAAATGAATAATGGTTTTGTGATCATGACATACCAAGAATATTATTAAACACTAGGTAATACATATCAATATTTAAACTTGAAATTAAATGAAATGCAAAGAAATTTTACTATTTAAGAGGAAAAAGACCTCTTAAATCACTGAGTCTATTTTTCTACATACATGATATGAAATAAATAGTTTCATATATTTAATCTTCATGACAAATCATTTGAGAACTTATATATATAAGTTATATTCAGTCACATGGTTGTTAAGTGGCCAAGTTCAGATCAGTTAGAACCCAAAGTCTCATGTATTCTCCATAATAATACTTTCTCTGCTGCCACGGATTTAGCATAGTTTGCTGTGGTATTTAGGTAATCAAGAGACTTATTCTGAAACATCTACAACCACTTTGACTAATATATCTAGTAGTACTGGCTGTATCTATAGTCTTTCAAAGGGTTTTACATTAAACAGAAACAAAGAAATTCCTCCAATGTATTACTGACAGCAGATACAATCTATTGCTTGAAATATGCTTTTGTTTGTTTTTGTTTTGATATGTTTTATCAAAGGCCAGGCTTTTCACACACCCATCAAATCCCTTTGCTGCCAAAGACTGATCTAAGTGGCTCCCTGGGGATTATAATCCTTCTATGAATGTGAGCAAAAGAGGAATTATATTTGCCCACAAATTAAAATGTCCTTTGTAAAAGTAAATCTGGGGAATGTGAAATTCTAGAAGATATTTTAAAAAAATCCTGAAGATCTTGAAATAAGTTACACTTAGTTTTCTCATGTTCATTAGTTGAGAAAGTTTGGGTACTAACTAGTACTGTTAATTTTTCACCATCTGTGCTGTACAGGTTTAATGAAATTTCATTTGTCCTACTTATGTTCTTTTAGAGGGAGTCAGAGGAGGTTTAACTGCAGTGACTTCCAGGTTTGCTGAGCTATGTGTAAACATCCATTAATATCAACTCATTTCAAGTAACAAGATGAACCTTCCCTGGGGCAAATCATATTGTGAGGTTTCCCAATGAAATTCAGTTTTCTGAATTAAGGTACAGATTCAAAAGCATGCACAGATGATACATGTCTGAACTCAGAATCACTGTATCTCAGATCTTTTAAGAACTGAAGGTGTTCAGGCAGTTCTATTGATCTTAAAGTACCACCTAAAACAGATTTTCTTATAAATTCCTCAAAGTGGAGTTTTATACTAAAATTAATATTCACCTGTTATTAGCATACAGTACACTGCCATTTCAAAGCTAACAGTGACTCATGTTACAAATGCAGCTATTTTTAGTATAGTGCATGAATGATGTTAACAATATTCCTTGAAAAAGGCATTATTTGATCAAGTACTTTGTGGATAGAAAGGATTCTCTCACAACTGCTATGGCTGTGAACCCCTAACAACTATATTCTAAAACAAAGTTATCAAAACTAGAGTAAACAGAAATCTAAAACATCGGTACAACCTTGAGTAAGCTTTAAGATTCATTAAAAGCCTGTCCTAAACAGTACTGTGGAAAACCATTCTTAGAAAGGAATTCTGTGGCCAGCAGCCATGAGTACTGCATATTCTAAACTTCCTAACAAACATACTTTATGTTTCTTTTCTTTTTGCACCACCAATGACAGTCAATAAGTCATTTTCTCATTTGTCTTTTTGGAAAACTTAAGACCATTGTCTGCACTGTCCGTAGTACCCTGAATTATTGAGTTAGACGCCAGAGAAAAGCATTCTTGCTGACTGACAACCAGATTACTGGTTCATACTAGAAGTGCTGACGCAACCTTCAGTACACCAGGACACAAGAGGCATGGTTCTGCTTTCGCTTAAAACCATAAAATAGGTTATAAACAGCAAACGATGCATATTTGGTATCCAAATTAAAATGCAAGTTTAAATATAATGGCTTAGGGGAAAGTTTTAGTAGAAACTGGGCCTAACTAGGGCACACTGTCGTCAGAAGAAACATTCCCGAAAATTTCCTTCTGTAAATACAAGCTTGCCTCTTCCCGGCAGTTTTAATTCTAATTAAGACAAAGGTTTTTAATTAAGCCCTGAAGATCCTGGTGTAGGGCCTTCAGTAAAACTGTCCTTGGTGGTTCCTCCCAAGATAATTCATTTCAAGATACAAGGAAGTGGATCTCTTATAAACCTTCAGAGAAAGGCATTTCCCTCTCTTCCTTTTAGCTACTCTGCACAGCAAACAGACTGAAAAACGCTGTCTACCCTTTGGATCAGGCAAGCAAAACATTGCTGGTTTCGATTCTGGTGTCCCCCTTTGTTTCAAAAATACTGATAGAAGTTTCAAGTGCACATAACATAACATTTTTAAAAAGAACATTTTGTTACTGGGACATGGCAATTTTCCATCTTTTATTTCCTTTCCATCACCCCCCATCACCACCACCACTGTGGAGAGCAAAACTGAACTGCTACTACATCAAGTCAAGAACTTGTTCCAGATAGCCTCCACCAAAACCACCTTCACTTGTAACCCATTCGCTTACAAATTACATTTTGTGAGATGAAAAGTATTTTTTTCCATGAATATATGCATGGGGATAGAAAAAAGTGCTTGAGGGGGAAGTGGTCAGCCTCTTCTTTTTACATTGCAGAGTAAAAATCCACTATATTTGCATTAAGCTTGGGTCTCCCTATTTCTTTGCCTAGAAGAGAAAAAAAATGCTGAAATAAATGGGTCTGGAGGCAATTAAGGAAAGATTAGCAAACACTGCATACTGCTCAAACAAACTTGAGCTGGCTTCTCACCATTCCCTACATTCCTGGCCAAGAGAAAAGGATAATGGCCTGAAAAGCAAATGGAAGTTGAAGCTGGTTTCTCTAACCTATCTGAAAAGTCTTTATGCAATCAGAGGGCTATTATTTCAGGAGACAGAGAGAAAGGGGCAAAAGATTCACGTTGCTAAGGAGACATTCTGAAGCTGGCATTCCTACATAAATTTCCATTTCTATTGAAGAGGGGAAAGAAAAGATATTTTCTCCAAAGTTTATTTGGATCTCCGGGTTACTGAAGAAAGGCATTTTACCTATTTATTTTATCTGTAGTTGTAAACAACCAACTCTGAAAGAATTAAAAGACCTAAATGTTGACCTCCTGCTGCCAACCAGTCCCCTCCTCAGTGAATTAATCAACAAAGGAGAAACCTTTCAATGGGTATTTTGAGGTAAGAGAAAAGAAAAAGCTTTTGTAAAAACAAAATTTAATTTATGGAAGGAACTTAACCAAGTGAACTAATCTCTCATATAACAAGAAATGAAAGACAAAAGAAGATCAGATTTTTGTGGCTTTTTGTGCTATTTCAACTTTACTGGAACTTGAAACGGTTCCAGTAAAGCTTTTTAAATGGTTTCAGAGAAGACATGACACTGTCAGGAAGGAATTTAATGTTTCTCAGGAGTGTGTGTGTGTGTGAGTGTGTGTGTGTGTGTGTAAAAATCACAAGCTCTTGGTCCTCTCTCTATCCCCCATTCTCTGTGCGGACATTCAGCAGCTGAAGAATTAAGATTGGAAAGGGAAGAGTTTGCAGCAAGAAATCGGAAGTGGCAGATTTCTGTTAAGGGCACAATTGGGGCGCTGGAGGCAACTAGAGGGTCGGGAGGGAGAGAATAAAGCCATAAAATCCCCGTGGGGCTAGCAGCTCCAGTGGCTACCTTCTTTGTACTCCACCCCCATTCCATCCATTTGCAGTTTTCAAAGCTGGCAGAATAAAGCACAACTTTCCAGGCAACTGTGAATAGCTCACAGAGGAGAGAGGAGTTTCTTACAGTGAAAGAAAAAAAAGGGCAACTCAGAATCAACGACGGTATCACCAAAGGGGGGGGGATTAAGACTGTCTCTCTCCCAGCTCACCATAGCCACCCCCAAATTTAAGGAAATATAATCTGCATCAAAATTCATTCGAGAAAACCCAGATATAGTGGAGCTGAGCAGGCAAAACCGTGGGCTCTAAGAGGTAAACTCAGGCAAATTCCTCTTTGAAAGAAGGAGAAGAAAAACTGTACAGGGAACCCACACATCTTGGGAGTTGGGCGTTTTAGCCCGTTTCTTTTTTAACGGGGGTGTGGAAGGAGTTGCATTTTTTACACAGCCACATGGTTCTCGCCTTAAACGATAACAATTACCCAAAATAGCATACCTGTTACTCCAGAGCGGGAGGAATGGCCACGGGAGGAGGGAGAGGGCGTGGGATGCCGCTTTAGGCTAGGCGACCTGGAGCCCGGCGGGGAGAGGGGTGCATGCAGGGACGCGTCTGGAGGCCGAGGCTCCGCGAAGGGCCGGGACTGGGGGAAACGATGGGAGCGGGGGACCCGGAGAGGTGGGGAGGGGCGGTGGCCGTCGGGGCAGTGGGGCGCGGGACAGTCCGGGGAGGGAGGCAGGGGTCGCCTCTGAGCGTGGACTCGCAGTGCCAGCTGTCCAAGCTGGCGGGCTTCCGCAGGACTCTTACAGGGACAGGTAGTACTGGTGGTCAGCGGTGACCCAGGCCGGACTCAGCACTGCCCCCAGGTCCAGACACAGCGCCAGGAAGATGCACACCAAGCCGACCAGCTTCAGCGGGGTCAGCACCGACACGCGCACCTCTTCCATGCTGCTGCCCGAGGACACCAGGCGGTCCGGAGAGCCTGAGCTCGACGCCCAGAGGAGCGAAGCAGCTGAGCCGCCGCGCGTGGGGACTA